CTATTAACGAGCAAAATTTTTACTATAAATCTTGCCCAAGTAAAAATAACGATGGTGTCAAACTCCTACCCTGAAAATCAAGGATTTATTAGATCTTCTATAAGTCAGTTTTCTGACATTGAGTTCCAAAAATAGCAATAGATGAATGTTTGTTAAAGTTGTCTTATGTTGAAAACAGTACATGTCCGTTTACAATCAATATAAATGTAGTTGTAATATGCATGTATTTCATTATTACCTGATCCTGATTGTACGTGTTGTTTCTTCACTGCATCTCTACCGTTTGTTTCATCTGTTACATTGTCACTATCATCAAGCGCGTTTGTCAAAGCGTTCGTCCGTCACATGAATTTGTCATTCTCATAGTTCTTAGTTTTCTCATTCAAGTTTTTCTAGTTCTGCAATGCGATCGTTTCAGAGCCTTTTCTTTTTCACGAAAGTCTGCCCGCCATCATTTCCATTCTCCTTTCCATTTTCGTCATTCCCCGGCGTTCCACATGTTTCAAGTCCGTTTTAAAAGTAACTCGAACTTTTCGTTATTAAAATCATTTGTGTCTTGAACAGTTTTAGTTGTGGCATCAATGGCGAACTCCGAAATAGAAAAAATCGAAAATTAAAATGCCGAAACATAGACTTGTTTCTGACTTCATTTTTTCTTCTATTTCCACTCTTATGGATCTTTTATATACATTGTTTCGGTAGTTTTGTGATAAGGCAATTCAAATGTGACACAATACGTGTGTTAATTTGACCTTGTTTGAAAGAGATAACAGCCGTGAAACTAGTATTTTAATCTTTTCCCCTCAAAAAAATTGGAGTTGTTAGTAGTACATTTATGTTAATTTTCAGAAGTTTTCAAAAGGCTGTTTTGTTTTCCATATAAAATTTGGGCTGAATTACAAAAAAATATTATATCAATTTTTGATTCTATAATATTTTTGTATGGTGGTAAAAAGAGGCTAAATCGATGAACAAAGAAAAAAGTTGAAAAATCAAATATTAAAGTGTCAATAAGTTGAGATCAGGATACTATAAAAAATAAAATCTTAGAAGTATAAATCACTGGGTATGAAGAACAATACGTCACAATTTTAATTTTGAAAGGTAAACCCTTTACATGCCATACAGTGTTATGTTAGTAAAGTGTGTGTTAACCACAAACTTAAGATTACCGTCACATGGAACTTGTTAATCCGCCTTAAATTTATACATGTTGCAAAATTCCCATGAGTAAATTTCCCACCTTTTAATACGCAAATTATCAATAACATGTGCGCATTATTTATATGCAAAGCGCATAGCACGGACAGCAAATTAATGTTCAGAAAATTAATATTTTTTCTTTTAGAGAAATGACCGACAAGACGTTTATTGATGTTGAAAAAAATGGAACATTTAAGATGTTTATCTCCCTGAAAATTTGTGAAAATAACCTATAAAAAAATAAAAAAATAACAAAATGTAATCTTAAAGTTGTAAAGTGACTTATATTAAAATACTTAATCACTATAATGTACTAAAAATATCAAAAGATGATTCAGCTTTTTTTGTCAATCAGCAACGTTTAAATAGTTATTGTAAAAAAAGGACTCTTAAAATGAAAAAAAAAAAAAAAAAAAAAAAAAAACGTCTGAAAAAAAAAAATGTTTGTTTTATGTTTTCTTGTACAGCCTAAAGGAATGAGTTTTTTGACATGACAGGAATGAAAATTATTAAATCCGAGATTAATGTTCCATTTGAATGTTAGGTTGAAACCAATAACTTGTGTGCAAAATATATTTCTAATTAATTATTTCTAATTGTGAAAAATGAGCCAAAATAGAAAAGCGTTGTAACGCTTTTCACTCCATTCGGGCCAAGAATAGCGCAAAAATACGATTTTCAATTTATTTTTGAGTACATTTCTTAAACATCATTTCATATTATTCAGTTTTAAGTGGTCTATTAATAAATGTTCGAAATGCAAATTTTATGTTATTAGGTTTTTGACCCAGTGAAGTTTCTTTAAAATTGTTGTGTAGTAAATTTAAAAGAAAGTCTCACTAATTTTGAGCTTTTTACAAAGGAGTTGAATCGAATCGTTTTTTTTCTGGAGATAGTGTTGAGTACATTCACATATGAAAAAATGATTTTAGGAATTTATGTACACACTTTTTTGCCAAACCTCTCGACACTAATCAAATATAATGGTAAAACACCTATTAAGCATCAAAATGTGAATAAATAAATAAATAACAAATAAAAATTAAAAAAAACCAATAAAAAAAATTTGGTGTCCTTTTACAATTTCCAAAAAAACCAAAGGAGATAACTCATTGGCCATAAGATCTTTTGCATTTTTGGCATTTTGTCACGTGAAAGTCAAAATACCACCACCTTGTTTAATTTTTGCTACTTTTTATCAACAATTATTTCTCACTCAGTGCCTGCTATAACTTCCATGTGATAAACATCCAATACATCTAGCAACATTATAAAAAAAACAAGTATGTGACTTTTTCCTACAGAAAGAGAAAATATATTTTATTTCTGAGGTGTTATTGCAACCTTGAAATGTTTTTTTATTACTACTATCATTTTCACGGTGAACAACATTGCTTCTGTTAAATCCCAGCAGGACTTGGAGATAAAACATTGTAAACAGGTAGTTAAAAAATAAGCACAAAATGAATCGCAGTTTTAATTTCTCTATTGTAAAAGTATTTATTTATTTATTACATCTATATACATGGTAACTTATAAAACAGAAATTATTTGTTAAAGCCTTGTCGTTCTGGTTTTTTTAAAAATTCAAGAAAAAAGACTTATAGAATTGTAATTTAAAGTATAGGCAAAGGAAAATCCATTTTTAAAAGGAATGTTATAAAATTCGAGGCAGTTTAAAAAAGGTAATAAAATTTACACAATCAACAATTATTGCCCAATACTAAGTAGGTGAACTGAAATTGTAAAATAGGGGCCAAACTTTTGCAAGCATTTATCATGTTCAATAGATATTGAAGTTGGGTTTACAAGTATGAAATCTTTATAAACAAACCAGTCTACGTGCCTTAGGTCAAGTCACATGACAAAATTAAAAAATGCTACATCACGTGCGCAAATATCATCATACATTTTACCTGTCTAGTAAGACATGAAATTCGCAAACAAAAACAGGAAATGGTGAAATCATTACATGTTTTTGTGATTGCTAATTACAGAAATTTTCGCCCCTGTTTTGAACCAAAAAGAAGAAAGTGTATGGAACATCGATCTTTTTTTGATATACAAGTTCAATGAGGTAATAGGTTGTCAATAATTCAAGATTGAACCATTTTTATCGTTTTTTTAAAATGATCTGATAACGATTCGTAAGTTTAAAAGAAATATGTCTCATATAGATTGTGTGCTATTTAAACAAAAAACTATGATGTGAACGTAACTTCCACATTTTTTTTCCTAATAGCACGCCTTTGCAGCTAGTTTTTTATGGTTTTTTGATAATTAGACTTTGTATTTGAGATAATGACAGTTATAAGCCTCTGTCCATCGTTAACTTTTGCTTTAATGAAAAGATTTAGATCACTAGGCCTATTGTGACAAAGACAGGAATTATTATTGGAGGGCACATAAAAATAGTTAAAAAACTTTCGGTCCCGTTAATTAAGATGGTTGCAAGAGCTAAAAATAGAATATTCTATGACAAAAAATCAACAGGAGTAAATATGGAAACTGTACCAAAATAGGTGCATCATTCAGGACAGTTTGAACAAATGGGTGCCAAAGATAAAAAATAAGTTTTAAATGATCTTTCAGAACAGCATGTTTTCGCAAAACTGAATATGAAGTATTCTTTGCATTGTTTGTTCTTTACAAGAAAAGCCAACGTCTGTTTGTTGAACATTTGACTTCATACTTTAAACTGCAACCTTAACTGTTTGGCGGATGTCAGTGAATAGGTCAACAAAAAATGCATGAAATTGTTCTGGATAGCTGAAAAAGCATAGATAAAAATTAATATGATCGTCTACTGGATTCCCGGAACACAAGGGGATGGTCGTTAGCTACACGCTTTGCACACACATTTCTTAATTTTAATAAACGTTTAAACGTGATAGATATCCTAGATCTGCGATCCATTTTTAAGGTCTCTTTTTGAGCGCGGAGTTTTAAATTTTGGCAAAAAATAACAAGAATAATATTTCAGAAACTTATCAGGTACGCTTAGTTTATTGAATGGTTCAATAAGTGGCTTATATTTTATTAATGATTGTTGATCGTGTTCATTTAATTTAATTTCTATATATTTTAAATCAAGTATTTATAAAAATAAAATTGCCTTAGCAAACTGCGTAGATCTTGGTGTTAGAAATTGAGTTCACAATACCAAATGCGAACAGTTTTTTTTAGAAAACCACATACCCAAATTCTTTAATGTCTTCCATTTTTTAAGATTTTAATTTAACCTTACCAAAAAATTTATTAATTCATTGTTATGCCAAAGCTTTGCGTAACACATTCTATATGACTTTGCATTGAGGACTAAGACATAAAATATGCAAAATTAACCAGGGTTTACTTCACCGAGTATTCTTTTTTTTAAAAGGATACTTCTTGTTTTATAAAACCTTTTTGTTGAAATAATTACCAAGGAAACTATAGATAAAAAGGTAACAAATGTTGTTTTTTTATTTTTTTTTCTTATATTTATGGATGACCCAAATCCTGATACAGTAAAAAATCCGGAAAATGACGTATACATCGCCCCTAGAATTTTTGAGTTCGCCCAGTTGTTTTTCACGGATACATCGTCACCGGCTTTTGAAGTTTGAACTATTATCATTTGGTGTGGATTGTTGATAGGGATGTGCGATGGGAAGTTAGCAACATATTCCCATTTACGTCAAAAATGAGCGTAAAGTAAAAATCTGTTCACCGCCGGAAGATCCCCCAGCAACCCCGTGGCGCACAATACATATGTGCCTGGCAACAGGTGCCTTAAATATGCCTTGAATGTTATCGAAGGCGTTGCCTGTGTTGTAAAGGTGTGATCAAAAAACAATGATTTGGTTTACGCCTAAATTGCCAATGTCATGTGGGGTGACCGTGGCTAAGAACGCTACCTCCGATTTCACAGAACGCACAAGTCTTGAACCTGAAATGAGATTTTTTAAAAAGACAACAACATGTACTATGGACTGACTCTACAATATCAAAGAGAAAATAATGAAAAGTTGATACTATAGTTTTAACACAGCTAAGATGTTTGACGTTTGTAATATACTAATTAAGGCTAATACGTTTCTCGTTTTTTTCTCTCTAACATTCAGTTCCATGTAAAGTATAAGGTGAGTTTTTGGCCAGACTTTCTTTAGTTTTATACAGATTTAAAATCAATATAAATGTATACATGTAGTTTGTATATATTTTATATTACCTGATATAATTGTACGTGTTTGTTTCTGCACTGCATCTCTACCGCCTGTTTCATCTGTTACATTGTCACTATCATCAAGCGCGTTGTCAAAGCGTTCGTTAGTCTCGCGATTGTCATTCTCAATGTTTCTGGGATTATTCAGTTTTTCTAGTTCCGAAATGCGATCATTCAGAGTTTTTTCTTTTTCACGGAAGTCTGCAGCCATTATTTTCATTCTCCTTTCCATTTCGTCATTCCGGCGTTCCACGTGTTCAAGTCGTTTTAAAAGTAACTCGAACTGTTCGTTATTGAAATCATTTGTGTCTTGAACAGTTTTAGTGGTGGCATCAATGCGAACTCCGAAACAGAAAATCGAAGTTATAATGCCGAAACATAGACTTGTTTCTGACTTCATTTTTCTTCTATTTCCACTCTTAACAGATCCTTTATATACATTGTTCGTAGTTTTGTGATAAGGCAGGTAAAAGGTGACATAAACGTGTATAAATTTGACCCTTGTTTGAACAGATAATAGCCGTTGAACTAGTATTTTAATCTTTTCCCCTAAAAAAATTGGAGTTGTTAGTAGTGAATTTGTGTAATTATCAGATGTTTTCAAAAAAATTTTTTGTCAAAAATTTTGTGCATTAAAATTTTTGGGATAGAAAAAAAAAGGAAAATCAATTTGAAAAAAAAAATTTTTAAGTGTCAAAAAGTTGGTCAGACTATAAATAAATTTATTTTAAGGGGAATGAGAGAAATACGTCATATTTTTTGGTTGAAAATTTTTAAATACAGATAATGTTAGTAAAGTGTGGTTTACCAAAAATTAGGACCCAAGGGAAAATTGTTAATCCCCCAAAATTTTAAAATTTTGCATTCATAGCAATTTCAATGTATATGCATCTTAAAATAATGTACGATTATTTGTAGCAAGCGTTTCGGGCCCCAAAATTCAGAAAAAGACCGAAAAGCTTTTATAAATGTTAAAAAAAAAACTGAATATACAAATCAAAGGTAAGAAATCAAAAGCTGTATCTGAAAGATGTTATTGACAAAATTTTTAAAACTTATTAAAAAAAATGCATAAAAGTGAAAACTTTGTTATATTGAAATCCAGATTTTTAAAATCGTTTTATGAAATGTGGCTCTAGTTTTTTGTTCTATGGAAAATTTGGGTTTCTAAAATGACGGGAACGGAATTTAAATTTTTCGGGTTTTTTTCTTTTAAAAAAACAAAGCAAAAAATTTTTGCAAAAATTTGGGTCTTTTTTTTTCTTAAATATTTATTTTAAATTTGAAAAAAGAACAAATCGGATTCTAACCTTTTCCTCACATTTGGCCAAGAAAAGCACAAAAGCGCAAAAAAGGAAGATTTTTTATTTTTTTTTTGTAATTTCTTTTTTATTTTTTTGTGGCCCCATTAAAAAATGGGGAAAATGCCTGAAAGTGATATTTTTGTATAAAAGTGCAAATGTAAACAAAAAAGTTTTTTTACTTTTTAAAAACCTTTAAAACTGAAACCCCTTTAAAGCAGAAAAAAAAAAGATTTTGGTTTTGGGGTCAAATTTTTGGAAAATTTTGCAAAAAATTTATAATTTAAATTTAAAAAATAAAAAAAACACTTTTTTCGGTTGGGTTTTACTTTCCAAAAACCAAAAAAGGTTACCTGTTTTAAATTTTTCTGCTTTTATACAAAAAATTTTTATCGTGCAATTTTAGGGTTTAAGCTTTAAACTGCCCAAATTAAATTTAAAAAAAGTATTTTGCCCTCCCCCAGAAAGAGAAAACAATAGTATTTTTGAGTGTTTATCGCCTTGAAAATGTTTTTTTATAGTTAAAAAATTGTTTTTTGTACGTGCAAAAATGTACGTTGTTAAATCCCAGTAGGACTTGAGATAAACATGTGAACATGTAGTAAAGATAAACATGTAAACATGTAGTAAAGATTAACATGTGAACATGTAGTAAATTTTCCATTAAATGAGATCATTTAAAGTTATTTCTCTCTTGTGTCCAATTAGGATGAATTAGACTAAACGCAGTTAATTCTCTATTGTTAAGTATTTACTTATTTATTGCATTTGATATAGCTATAAAACAGGAATATTAAATTGAATTCTGCTTGTGTAAGCCTGTTGTTCTGGATTAAAACTCCTAAGAAAAAAGATTTCATAAAATTTAGTAGGTCAAGCAAGTATAAGCAAGTAAAATCATTTAAAAAAAGGAATATTATATATAGAATTCGATGTTGTATAAATGAATAATTTATATGATCAACAATTACTGTTATAATACTTAGTAAGTAGGGGACTGAAATAGTGAATAGGCAAAATTTTTGCAAGCATTTATCATGTTCATAAGATATCGAAGTTGTTTACAAGTATGAATCTTTGTAAACAACCAGTCTATGTGCCATATGTAAAGTCACATGACCTAAAAAAAGCAACATCACGTAAATAACATCATACATTTTACCTGTCTAGTAAGACATGGAATTCACAAACATCAAACAAATAACGAGAAAACATTGCTTGTTATTTGATGTAATGAACTGTAAAACAGACATTTATTATGGAATTTACATACTATAAACACTATGTTATGATTTAAATTAGCATTTCCAAACATGTTGCTTTCAATAAAAGACGACCCATATACATGTAAATGTATTAACATACACAACAAAAGAAGAAAAATACATATATTTTATTTATTGTACTCACTACTACTGCTACTGCTACAAAATGAGAAAATACATATAGTTTATTTATTGTACCCACTACTACTGCTGCTACTGCTGCTGCTGCTGCTGCTGCTGCTACTGCTACTGCTACTACTACTACTGCTGCTGCTGCTGCTGCTGCTGCTGCTACTGCTACTGCTACTGCTACTGCTACTACTACTACTACTGGTACTGCTGCTGCTGCTGATGATGATGATAATAATAATAATGATAATAATGATGATGATGATAATAATAATAATAAATAATGATGATAATAATGATAATAATAATAATAAGAATAATAATGATAAGAATAATAATGATAAGAATAATAATGATAAGAATAATTCTTCTTATGGCAGATTACTAATGGTGACATTTTGATTTCGAATGCATACACACCCTCGTAGATCATGACTTTTTGTATTACTATAACGGTGTACATGTAAATGTATTGCTATACATTAGATAGTGGTGGAAACATTAAAATAAAATTATTTAAACAAATTGAAATGAATAGATATTTAATCAATGAACTTTGAAGTTTTAAGTGGTATCCGAGTATATATATTTTCATTATAAGTACAATACTGTATTTATGCCGGCTCGCCAGGATTTTACTGAGAAACAACCTTAAACTCCGAATCCATCCAAAAATTTAATCGAAGCTTAGCTTCCAGCTTTCTACAAAATTTATCTATCAGGGCTGGGATCCAAAATTATTTAGCCAATCAAATTTGATCTTATATAGCGTCAAAAAGCCTTCAATTTTCACGCCATTTTTAAAAAGCAGCAAGTATTGTTTTGAGCGCAAAGATATAATGATGATTAAAATGTTTGTTTTCATGGATTCTTTTCAGTAAATCATATTTACACTGACTTTTGATTTAGCGATTTAACCAGTCCTGTTTACTTTGTAGTAAGTTTTTGTTTGGTTAATTAACATAAACGACATCTGGTTCTGTGCATTTTTTTTCTTTTTCCTTTTTTCCGGTCATTTCATCCTTTCCGGTATTTAGTGTATGTATTTACTGACCGGGATCCGGGACGCCCTGGTCAATTTCCGGGATCCTATTTTTTTTAAATAGGATCCCGGCTTTTCTGGCTGAATTGATTGACAACTTGTGTTTACTTTAGGACTTGTATCTGTCACTTATTCCAATACTAAATAACATATTACAACTTAACTTCGTATAAAGAGACATTTTTATGAATTCTACTTATCTATTTTTTTCTGGTCAAGGTCAACAGGCCATATAGTAAATGTGCATAGACATAGGGACTTCATTCTATCTGTTTACATGCATCTTCATATATACTCATATTCCTCTTTGTTAAACTGAGAGAACTGGCTTCCTTAACTTTATATGTCACTTTTATTTTGATGTTCGCTGAAGTCTTTTCAGCTAACAGAATTGTCATTTTTACATTTAAACACATCCCTGGAAAGAAATTACGAAGCGAGTCGCTACTAGCTTTTTTAAAAGCTAACCTTGTTACATTTAAGGAAAATGTGGATTACGACTAACCTACATGCTGTTATGAAATTTGTAATACGTCGCAAATCAAACATTTTGCAACAATAAAATCGATTCCGCCATTCTCTTCCGAGTATTATTACGCAGTTAGAAGTGCAAATCGCTGCATGAATTCCAATTTCCTTAAGTACGTCCATGTTTAGAACGTGAAAGCGGGATTGTATTCCAATATAGAAAAACACATCAGTCCGTTTATTTGAAATTTGTATAATTAATTTATAGACAGCATGATTTAGTACTCTCTGTCACTTATCATTAACCGAGTAAGATGTTTTGTTATATATTCCCTCCATATTCTTAAAATTTGTTATTTACTTGGGCAGAGTGCCATTTGGACGGTCAGGTCGTATTTACTAGAACAGGCTTTATCAAATCATATATGTACCATCTTTAATTTTGCCGTGTTAGGGTATATCATAACAACAGAGAGTCATTGCTGATGTAATCTTTACTAATTCGTTTACATTTATTTTGACAAAGTCTCTATTTAAATATTTGATTTTAAAGCGCGCGTATATAAACGTTTAGATTACGGTATAAATCTATCATATATACATGTATTAGAGTGATTAAGTCATCATCTATTTTTATAACCTTATCTTAAAAAAGAATCGTCGTTTGATAAAAAGAATACACAATTATAGCATATAAAGTTACGTAATTTAGAAGAAATCTAAATTGTTTTATTAATAGACATCAATAAGAATTTAATAACTCCGTGATATATAACTTTTATTTCATTACTGATCGATACTTAGACGTTTATATAACACATTAAATCATATACATATTTGTTTAATTTTCATAAGCCTTACAAACTTTAAAGATTGTTGGAAACAAAATCTTTCAATTGTCTTAACATCAATCATACATTGATAACTCTATGAAATAAGAACTTTGAAATAAAAATATATGCCTTATAATTTCTTTGGTTGCTATGATATTATAATATTAAAATCATACTGTGAAAAAGTGAACAAAAATAATAATATTTTAAACCTCTTTACTGTAATATATATGAAAAAAGAATAATTGAGATTTGTTTTAACTGCCGTGTGAACCAAATAGACACTAGTAAAGTTATCTGAACGCATTTTCCGGGACTAGGATTATATATGACAAACAATATGTTACTGTAAAAATTAACCATCGTACTTTAATTGTCAAAAATCAATTTTTTAAAATTTTTTTAATT